GAAATACCAGTTGAGGATGTATATACCAATAATTATATTACCAGAAATATGAAAATATGCCAGGAAATCGGTGCTCCTCAAAATCTACAACACAAACCAATTTCACGTCTATCATGCTTGGTTGAGCTCGGAAAGCTTCTAGACCGATTGATTCCTCTTTTGTTGAAACGAATGAGACTTGTATAGTACGGTTTTTAATCTCTTGCTGAATGTAGAATCTATGACGAGATATGGAGTGAACAGGATGGCTTACCAAACTATCGGTACTAAAAATGTAACATTTTCGGATAAAGAGACAAGCCAGTGAGTCGATGGTGAGACGATAGTACTCTCCATACTCCGTTCTCTTCTAGAAATCCCATTTCTTCACAGGGAACTAAGAAATTACGACGAGGGCAGGCCAACGCTGTCAATGAATATTTTGCGGAAATAACAGCCTGGGGAACCAAAAACCTACACGGAAAAAATTGGTCGAAGTAAAACGTTTTTCTGACTCGTTTCGTATTGTGATAAGAAAAATAATACCAATTACAGAAACAATTACCTTTCGCCTCTAGAAGAATGATAATTCTGAACGCATGAACTTGTAGCTATAATATCATCCACATACAGCTGATAGTTTTCATCCTAGATAATTCACTTTGTATAGTCCTAGGTCGACATTCAATAAGCGCTGGTGAAGTGTATTTTAATATTCATTAACTTCGAGTTTCTGGAAAGGAAATAATTACAATAGAAACTCGAGTTACAAGCACAATGCAATTGTTTATCTACGGTAAAACCTAATATTCCTACGGTAATATAACATGTTGACCTAATATATCAATCGGAAGTAATCGGGAACAATCGCAATCCATATTTTCGAATCCAACCAGCGTCAGTTCGTTATGACTTCTCGAGAGTGCTGAGTGTAAAAATCTCTCTCTGGTGGCAGTGGTGAATCGGAAAATAATTTTTGGTGTTGTATTCATTATATACGTTGAGGAAGTATGGCTAATTACCACCAGAGGTATGGGGGGTGCCATTTAGAATTCCTAGAGGGGGTGGCCGAGAGTTGGCCAATCAATAGATGATGTTTAACTTTTTGATTCGATTGTTTTTTTTTTTTTAGAAAATTTGTGTCGCTGTGTAGAACGGAAGTTATATTTAGGGCATTCAGGGTGGTAAGATATAAAATAAAACTCCTTTATGTATCTTGCTTACAATATGTAGGATGACTTGACATTATAAAGTAGGATTTTACTTCAATTAAAACTGCTGAAAATGTATATAGAATTTTCATTTCCTTTTTTCCTCAACGAATTTGTATATTTTTGTTTTCTCAGAACGTTCTTCATGTTATACGAATAACTCAAGTTTGTGATAATATACGATGAATGTCAGTGCTTGCCTGTTCATCAATCCATCTATAATGAATTCAGACTAGACATTCAACAGAGTTCTGAAGTACACTGAAAAAAAAAGATGGTAGTTATTATTATTAGTGAATAAGTCACTAATGACAAATGAGTGAGTCACTAATGAAAAGTGAATAAGTCACTAATGACAAGTGAATAAGTCACTAATTACAAGTGCTGTATTCACATTCGAAAATTCAATGGAACAGGTTTATAGTGGTAGGTGTACATTTTCAGGAACACAAATATACTTGTGACTATCAACTTCTTTCCTTGTCCCAAATAGTATACAAGTTTTTACTTGCCACTAATCAATATTCACCGTGAGCAAGTGAGTTTTTCTCATTCGTGCACTATATCTATTCTCGGTTTCACCATCAGCAATACTCTCTCATTAGAAAATCATGTTCGAACCATCGCCCAAGCTGCTTCACAAAAACTCGGATTCTTGATTCGAAAAATCTACTTTATTTACTTATTATTAGATGTCCACCATGTGATGAACGATAGTGGGTGGTGGAAGCTTCAGTTTCGGAAATCTATACCCAAATTTATTTTGGTATCTCCTTCACATAATTTTTTTAACACATCCTTCGTATGTCGTACCATCCTTTCCGCTTCGCCATTCGAAGAGGGGTGGTACGGTGACGTTCTGATATGTTTTATCAAATTTCGAATATCAAATTCTTCGAACTCTGCGGACGTGAATGCCGCAGTATTTTCAGTAACGATCACCTGGGGCAACCCATGTGTGGCAAAAAGTTCTCTTAGAACTTCAACAGCTGATCTTGATGATGTTAATGGTACCACTCTCACCTCCTATTCCACATATTAGCCGATCTCTCAACATTTCTTCCAAAATGTTATTATTGAATGAGCAATGTTCAGCAAGCCGTCTGAGTTCACTAACATAAGTTGCAATACTTTCATTTGGCTGTTGTGCTCTGCGATGAAACCGGAATCTCTCTCAACTACGATCGACTATTTGGGTCGAAATGTTCATTCAATTTGGTGATTATGTTATCGAATGAAACTCCACCTACTGTTTGGGGAGTCAGAAGAGAATGCACTATGTCATATGTTGTATAGGGCCGCAAACTGTTAAAAACACTGCTCTCTTCTTTGTAGCTTCGGTAACTCCGTTTGCTTGAAGGTTGAATTTTAACCTCTGCAAGTAATCACTCGATCTTCGTGGTTCGTGTGGATTGAAAGGTTCCATAGAGCCAATAAATGCCATCTAACTGCTCTTCGGTATAATTCGTGATCCAAGACTGCGCCAATTATTAAGTATGATACGATGGTAGGTTTCTTATAAAGAGTATATACACTCAGTTCCAAGAAAAGTGCTTCTTAAAAAAAAAAAAGAAAAAAAATAGTAGGCTAGAGGCCGATTTTTATTTTTCTTTCATTTGTTGGTAGGTAATGTATTTGTCTTTAAAAAAAAATGAAGGAGTGAACATTTTTTCAAAGCCTCCTTGATGGTGATGGAATAACTCGAACCATGATTTATTCTTAATTTTTGACTCACCCTGTGTGTTAATTGAGTAATGGCATAGAAAGTGCTTACACCCAATACGAAAGATGCTTCTTCTGGGAGCATTTTGTTTTTTTATACATTGATTTATCTCTAAAATTTTCCGAATTACAGCATTTTTTGCTGAATCCTTGCAGATTACCAACCTTCTGAATTTATCGAGAAAAAATTTTCTAATGAAATAAACTGATACCAATAATCAAAAAAAAAATTTTTATTCAACGACACAAAATCAAAAATTGGGATGGTGTATTGCCTCCTCTAGAAACTCTAAGAACTTCTAATCTACGAGGCATACTGAAAATTAAGTTGCTTATCGTTTCCATTGGTATACGATCCCATTCTTCCACTAATGCATCTGTCATTTCTGCGAGACTTTCCGGAGACCTCTCGCGAGAACGTACCCTTCTCCCTAATTCATCCCACAAATGTTCTATAGGTTTCATATCTGGGCTTCTTGCAGGCCATTGAATTAATGTGGTAACATCAGTAGCTTCTAAGAAGTTTCGCACTATTGCTGCGATGTGTGGTCGGGCATTATCCTGCATCAATATAAAATTATTGCCCACTACCTCTGCATAAGTTGAGACATACTGCTCTAAAATGTCGATGTGAATTTGGGCATTCATCGACTGCCTCACCGGAAAAACATGAAGGGGTGTCTTTCCATTCATTGAAATCCCTCCCCACACCATAACGGGCCCACCATAAAAACTTTCGCATTCGGTTATTAAAATTTGATTAAACCGTTCACCAGTTCTTCTTCACACTATTTTTCTCTTATCCACCATGTTAAGGCAAAACCTTGACTCATCCGTAAACAAGACATTCGACCATTCAGGAATATTCCACTGTCCATAGTTTTCAACAAAATTTCTTCTAGCAGCACGATGTTCGGGCAATAATTTGGGACCTTTAGCAGGTCTCCTAGCTTTTAAATTAACTTCTTTTAGACGTCTACATACCGTCTGCTTACTTACTGCAACATCACGAATTTGGCGAAGATCTTGCTGAACATTTACCGCAGTATTTGATCGATTTCGTAAAATCCGCAATCACAAGAAGCGATCATCTCTTGGAGAAGTTGTTCGGGGCGACCAGAACCGACCCTCCGAGCAGTGCTTCCTGTTTGTTCCTACCTGCGGATTGCTGTACGAGCAGTTGCTTCATGAACTCCCACTGCACGAGCGGCGTAACGTTTACTACGCCCATCGTTTACTAACGCAACTAATCTTGCTACTTGTTCAGGATTCATTCGAGGCATTTTATGTAATTTTAGTCAATAAAACAAGACACTTAATTAATGACACAACGACAAATGGTCAAATATGGAGGCATGCAATAAATTAGTTGCTATGGCAACGGCATTTGTTTTTTGAAGACAATGTGATCCTACCAGAGAACAACCCAATCAATTTTGAGCACTCTGATCAGTCTGATCCTACAATGAATTTAATTTGTGGGATGAGCGTAAGGTATCAGCAAAAAAGCTGCAATTCGGAAAATTTTAGAGATGAATCAATGAATAAAAAAAACAAGCACTTTGTATACCATTACTCAATTAACACACAGGGTGAGTAAAAAATTGAGAATTACACAAGTACTGGTTCGAGTTATTCCACCACCATCAAGGAGGTTTCGAAAAAATGTTCACCTCTTTATTTTTTTTAAAGACAAATGCATCACCTACCAACAAATGAAAAAAATAAAAATCGGCCTACTATTTTATTTTTCAAGAAGATAGGTCAAATATCAAGTGCGTCACTTTTTTTGGAACTGAGTGTATTAGCAAATTTGAATTTCAGATGATAATCATGACAATCTATCAAACTAGTGTCAATAATCATACATAGACCACTTGATTATCTCTACACGGAAATTCCATACATAACATGGGTGATGGAAGCATTAGTTCCGAAGAGTCGTTTGTTTTCTCTCAATATCTATCTTAATTTTTCCATGCCCTTCGAAAGATTTCATGTTATGAAATACCGATCGCTTTGACGTTATCCGTTATCCACCCTGTGAAGAACGAGAGTGGGTGATGGCTGCAGCTTCTTGCTTTTTAGTTTGACGCGGACTTTAGAAGTGCACTGAGCGTGAATAAGCCGCAGCCGAGGACTGAGAAAGCGAAGCAGATGGACGCGCCGGCAACATATCCATTCGCATTCACGTACAATGGGAGCCTCCCAGGCTCCTGCGATGGCCGTCGAGGGCACTCATGGATGAACACGGGAGATCGCTCAAAAGCACGCTTTCTTGCAAAATACCCGTCCAATATTATCTACCTTTCGAATTTTTCATGCTGCATTATAGATTTTTTGTCGAGGACAGCCAGAGATACGCGCTAGCTGAGATTCAGCAGGTGTATTGAATTAAAAATTGAAATGCAGTTAAACATATTTCTGGAGTCAGAGAGCTGATTATCGATAGTAGTCAACAATATCAGGGACTATTATATGTATAGAGATATGAAAGGATTTCTCCGAAAGGTACAAAAATTTTTCATTTGAATGGAGCAAATATACACTTGTCTCAATTCAATCGGTTTGCTTGTTTCGTTTCTCCTATATTTCTTCATTCAAGAAAACCTCGACTACAAGTGACAAAAATTCCAATTGATATTGGTTCAAGAAAATATCTGCTTTTCTAAAAGACTTTCCGTGACGTATATATAGCGGTGAGGTGTTTTCCCTTCTTATTTTATCGGAAACATGCTGAGTACCTTGATATCAATCATACCTGAATCCATAACAACAGATCACTGTCAACGCATATGGCCATGTTTGATGCATAACCTGCACAACGCACATTCGTTCAGCCGATGAACGCACTAATAGGTATAGGTAGGTAATTATCCATCATTTGTATATGTCTTACTCAATTCCTGATTGGAATGATTGAACCAATAATAATATGTCTCCTTCCTTCGTGTTTTCACATACTTATAACATACTTGTACATGCCCTGTCGTGAAACGCAGAATTTCTTGAAACCAGAAAATATTAGGTTGTCTTGACATTTCGTTTGTTCTCGACAATGCGTGGCTGTGATGAATGGAAATGTTACCTCTGGAGAAAGCTTTATAGGTATGTGGTTGATGATTTCCACACAAGCCACTCTGCAAAACCCACAAAACATTTTTTAATTGATGATTTTACTTTTCTCTCTAGGTTTACGTGGTTCAACATTCAAGCCTTTCAATCACAGTGACATCATGAGGCAGAAGACGGGAACAGCAAAGCACAAAATTCTAGAATAATTAATATTCCACCTCCTCGATTAGGCTACACATAGTATTTGATGATTTCACTATATGTAATGTTTATGTTCTCATTTATATTATACATGTTCTTATTTTCGGTATGTTATAATAGGATGACTTAGTTTTGATAATGAAGCCTCTTGTTTTCCAACTGTAAGAAATATAATTATATATTCAATAGTCAATACTCTGATAGTAAGCTATATATATTACAATTTCCTTCATAATCATAATCTCTTGACAAAAAAAAGAATAAGGATTTTCTGAAAAAATATTCACTTATTATAATGAGATATTATCTATTTGTAACAAGCTCGAAATTTCTTGATTCAAGAACAAAATTGTTCAAATATGATGGGAGATCAACTTGACGATAGAAGAATTGTCTTGTTTCAAACTAATCAATTTTTTTTTTTCGACCAATACGTACTGTGATAATAAAGAAATATCCATTCGAATCAAGATTTTCTTTTATGGATAAGTCAAGAAAGTTCTGTGGAAAAATCAAACAAATAGTTGGTTGCACCTATTCGAGAGCGCCATTTGGTTGAATCAATGGTGTTCTACATTGGATCAAGAAATCCAATTTATCTGTGTATGTAAATAGCGTAAAGCATATAAGTATGTATTGTTCTGGCAGGCTAACACACAATCCTACTTTTTTCGCTGTATCCGCATCAGTTTTGTATAGCCGTAGGAACAACTGAACAAAAAAAAAAACTTCGATAACAGCTTGTAAAATTTACTTCGAAGTAAAAATTTGCATACCATATGAAACAACTACTCGCTTCATTAGCCACAAGAAAAATGATATTTCTGAATCTGATCACTTTTGGTATTAATTTTCGATCATACAACAGACTTCGGAGGTATTAATGTAATTACAGGAACACATGATTGTATCCTACTGATATTGAACGCTTTATTAGAGACAGAATATTTGTTTCATTGTCCTCAGTGTTTTTTTACTTGCAGTTAGTTATACAACGACAATATTGACTAGGCGTTCAGTACGATAAGTAGGTACAAGTGACTTGATTCACTTGGCCTCATCGAGTGACTCACTTGTGGGTAAGTAGTGTATAAATCTTTACTTGGAGTTATACAACGACATTATTGGCTATACAGTGTGTCCATTTAGTGCGTAATTCTTCTATATCTCGAAAGCCATAACCTATTGAGAAAAACTTTGAAGAAAAAACTTTTTCAGTTACTGAAGTTGCTCATTTCAAAATTATTTTCAACATTACTGGGTGTTTTATAAAAGCAGGGCAACTCGAAGAAGGGTTTTTTTAAATGGAACACCCAGTATTGTTCATTCGGAAATATTTCCGCCGAGGTTCACCTTCACATCGCTGTAAAAAAAATTGAAATTGGCTGCGGCGTTGCCAAGTTATAATTGATAAATCTATTTTTACCATTATTATTGAAGAGTCATGTTGAATTGGCAATGGTATATTCATTTATTCAAATTTTGAAAATATTTTTGGTATACGGTAGAAGCAAGGTCCCACGTATACCAATCCAGTGATTTTGCGACATGTTCTACAACAGGGTGCTCAATTTTGCATTTAGAATTTTGCAAGATTCAGATGACATTCATCAGAATTTTTCAAATGGAACACCCTGTATTTTTATTCAAAAATTCAATCCGACTCCTTTCGCCTTTTTATTGCTGGAAACAATATCGGAATCGGTTGCGGCGTTGTCAAGTTATGGATAATTTCCTTATTTTTACTACTATTTCGGGGTAACTTGTACGTCATAGTTCTTTCATTTATTTGTATTGTGGAAATATTGCGTTGCTACGGTATAATCAAATTTGTTCATTGACCATTCATATATTTTTTTACAAAAGGAACATTCACAGGCTCTCCAAGTTTGAATTATTCTCGAAATATTTGTGTAATGACCTGTCAAACATCGCCACAATCAAATATATCTTGGATTGACTCGACATTTTGCGGAATTCCCTCACAAAAGCTGCGTAGTAGAGACATATTGTTTGTATCATTATGTTAACCTTTTTCAAGTTAAATGGGGATTTGGATTGTGGGAATAACGACAATAAAAATGGCCCAAATTTCAAAAAATTGTCCAAATTTTCACAATCCGCATCTTCATTGTTTGTATTGTAGAAGTTGTTTCAAAGACAGACGTTGCTTTCGGCATGTTTGTTTGTTTCACATATTATTTGAATCATAAGTTACAAGATTACGGAATATTTCAAATTTGGACGATGCACATATCACAAAAATACCTGAATGATCTATGTAGAACCTCGAATGTCATGTGGCAAGCAATATTCCCACACTCAAATCAAATTGGAACCATCATGACGTACAAATTACCCCGAAATAGTAGTAAATATAAGGAAATTACATGCATATAACTTGAAAACGCCGCAACCGATTTTGATTTTTTCTCATGCGATCAAAAGGCGAATGATATCGAAATGAATCTGTGATGAAAAATACAGGGTGTTCCATTTGAAAAATTCGTATGATTGTCGTCTGAATCTTACAATATTCAGAATGTAAATTTTAGCACCCTGTAGAGGATTATCTCACAAGATTACTGGATTGGTATAAGTGATACTTTGCTACTACTGTATGCCAAAAACATTTCCGAAATATCAATAAATAAATATACCATATCCAATTGAAACTGTGACCTTTCAATAGTAGTAAAAATGGGTTTATCAATTATAACTTGGCAACGCCGCAACCAAATTGAATTTTTTTCACAGCGATATAGAGCTGAACTTAAGCGGAATAAATTTCGAATGAACAATACTGGGTGTTCTATTTGAAAAAACTCGTCTTTGAGTTGCCCCGCTTTTATAAAGCACCCAGTATTGTTGGAAATATTTTCGAAATAAGCAAATTCAGTAACTGATAAACTTTTTTCTTCAAAGTTTTTCTCTTGTGATAATAGATTTCGAGATATCGAAGAATTACGCACTAAATGGACACACTGTATAGGTGTTTATTTCACTTGGCCTCATCGAATGACTCCCTTGTGGGTAGTTTATTATGTCGCACCGTGGATAGCTTTCATCCCATCTTTGGTATCAGAATACACCAGACTCAATCAATTTTTTTTCATGTCCTCACTCCCAATTCACTAGGCCTTCAAGCAAGAATCGATTGTAATGTATCATGCCTTATTTTCCACATCACATTCTTATATTACAATGAAATGAATGGTTCAATGTCAGCAATGTCAGTTCATATCTTGCCAATTTTATGTGAGTGATTCTTAAATAGGAATCCGAGTGTTGCTACTTCAGAACTCTGTTGAATGTCTAGTCTGAATTCATAATAGATGCATTGATAAACAGGCAAGCACTGACATTCATCGTATATTATCACAAACTTGATTTATTCGTATAACATTCTGAGTAAACAAAAAAAAATATAATTCATGGAGGAAAAAAGGAAATGAAAAATCGTGAAAAAGTCTTCATGCATAAGTTTTTTAATAAATCACAAAAATCCTTGATTTCCACAAATTTCTTATTCTCAGGTACAAACGTTTCTCTCATATAGTATAGCTTCTTTTGGTGCCTGATTCAAATAACAGAACCTGTTACCTATTTGCCTATATATATTGAATTCAAATCATCTGATTGATTTCTAATCTAATACTGAAGCCTGTCAACCATTTTCCGATCGACAATCTTCACACCTGGCTCTCAAAATAAGTATCAAGGCACGTGCAAAAACAAATTGCCTAAAAATCGGGAAAAAATATTCTTTGTTCACCTTGAATGAGCTCGAGAGGACGTCAATTATTTTGGGCGATTGTCATCTTGACAGTATTTCAGAAAACGCAGTCAGCGTGAATTGGAATGTAAATATGTGTGATGTATATACCTGGAGGTGAAGAATATGCTCCAGTGGTTCTTGTGTAAGAGTTATACTAGTCACCTATTCAGCTGATGCTAGAAACTTGCAGAAAACTTGCAATGTTCTTTAGAAAAGGTGAGATATACCTAATGTGGAAGGGTGCCAACATGTGTTACAAGAATGTATCATCCATTCCAAGGAGGACAGTGACATTGAAACAAAGTTGTCGAATGGA